AGAGACAGGGAGAGAGAGAGAGAGGGAGATTGAGGAGAGAGAGGCTTGGGGGGATGGGGAGGAAGGGGCAGAGGGAGGGAGAGAGGAGGACAGAACACACGGGGCAGGAGACAAGAGAGAGAGAAGGAGAAAAGGGAGAGGACAATGTCGGCGGACTGAGCCGGAGGCTCTAAAGTTTCCATGTATTTCCAGACGTACTCTCAGATTATTTCCAGCGGAGCCAATGGGAAATGTCCTTCGAGCAAAGCTGCACTCGGCAAAGGCCCAGCGGCCCAAGCAATATCCCGTAACAACTGCAGTCAAGTGGTGAGTGGATGACCAATGCCTTGCCTATGCAGGAGATAAATTGTTCCAGCACCTGCAAGATCCAATGAGAAGGGGAAACCACCTCCGCTTGTCACAGATGGGGTTGACCATGGGTAACTTTTCCCGCTTGGTGGGAAAGTCAACTCTTTATGGCCATCCCATCACAAAGATCGCTTGATCAACCTCCATACGGCATGCAAACAACTAACACATCGAAGCCGCAAGGCCAGAAAAATAGACCGGCACGCCCTTGCAGTACTCGGTGTAGTGCTTCAATGCTTTGCCATCTGCCAATTGTGGGTTGTCAACACTTGAGCAAGGAGCCTGGGAGGGGATCACGTAGCCGATGTTGGATGCCTCAGGCACGAACAAGCCTGCTGAAGGCAATGGACCCAGAAGGCAACATCCCATGGCAACCAAATGCCCAACAAACAACATTGTACTCACTGGCCGTATCGGAATGGTCAAAGCATGAAAGGAGGCTGAGTTGTGCTGAGACTCGGTGTGTTTGAGCAACAGGCAAAAGCAGCTCCTTCAACCCCAACATGCCTGAAGCGTTGATCTGTCGTGTCACAACGATCGCATTTTATGTTGGTCGGTAAACTCTGAGACAAAGTCACAGTCAGCGTCTCTAAGTTTCAAACTTGCCCAAAGTCTTTAGGAATTCTGGACTTGCCCGCCAAGAATCACACAAGGTGACGTTTCGGCTGAAGGGGATGGGTTTCGTCTTCCAAAGTATCAGCTTCCATTGCTGGAAATTGGTATGAGTCCAGTGGCCCAGGCAGGTGTTCCAAGTCCCACAAAGGAAGGCGGCCATTTGAATTAGGCACCCGTTGGACATTTGGCCGGGGGTTCATCCACCACCTCATTGTGGCGGTTCCGACTCGTTGCACGGGCGGAGTCTTCGGAGTCTTCGTGCCAGTTGCGTTCTTGAGGTGGCTGGAGGCCATCCCCACCACCAGGCCGTGGGCACCCAGCACTGGGCCACCCGAGTTGCCTCGAGTCGGCCGCCAAAAATTGGGGCTCTTTTTCCAAGGAGACTGCAAGGAACGCGAAGCTCATGTTGGGGTTTCCGGGGTTCCCGCTTGTTTGAGAGGAAACTCTCATACAAATAGACAAGAAGCTTACAGGAAATCAGGAAACAAACATGCGAAGGGGCAAACAAACTTTTGTACCGCGTCTCAATTATCATTCTAGCAGGGTCTGTGTGGCTGTGCGCCTGGATTGATCGCTGCATCGATCTGGATGCGGAGCAAACCGTCCAGATTCACATCAATGCCTCAGCCGGTCACTGCACATGGCTTGACAATATGCAGCTTGAAGCTGGGAACTGGCACTTTCCTTATCCCACTTGCATTTTAGGGATGAGGAGCAAATCAAAGTCTTCGAAAGTATTGCCACTACTAGCTCGCAAATCTAACCATGCAATTTCTACACCTACACGTGCCTCAGCAAATGCCGATACTGACGCCTTCTTCGGTGAAGGTCGCCTGCGAAGGCTGAGGAATTTCTGGGAGTCGGGCGCGACACAACTCCCCGGGTGACCGAGATGTTCTCGCCGCCCAAGGGGAAGCCAATGCACCTGAAACAGCCACGTTAAAGCCCTTGGACTGCAGTGGAGGCAATCAGGCAGATAAGGTCAATTAATTCCTGTGAGACTCTGAGATACAATGGGCAAAGCGTCCCTTCCATGTTTGCCCGCACAAGATGACGTACAGCGAACTCATCCCAAGTCCGCTGCGTGACGTTGTCATCCAACTTTGGAATGTCGCGAGACAGCTTGAGTGATTCCTTCCACGAAGCAAAAGGCATTCCAGAATGCAAGTGGCGCGGAGGTGCTGAACTTTGATTAACTCCAATGCAAACTGTTGTTGCACATGTTTGCGCAGTTCTACACAGCATGTCAGATGCCTTGCCCTTCCAAAAGCTCTCTTCCACCTCAAGCACCGCCAGGTCACCTGAGTATCCACGAATTTAGATCTCAAACAGCAGCAAGCGCTTGTTCGCACAGCTTAGCACCCAGCAGGGCAAGCCAACGGCCACCACCCTGAACCAGTCGGCCATCAACCACGATCTTCGCACGGTTTCTGATCCCAGAAAGGCCTAGAGCGCGTTTTGAAAGCGGCGTGAACCACACTTCATGCTGAAAGCGCTTGGGGCAGCTTGCATGAGGTCGCCTAATGAACGCGTGCCACGGAAAACAAAGGAGCAAAAGCTGGCAGAATGCCTGTCCATTGAAACCACCGCTTGTGGATCTTGAGCAAAGCCGCAAGACAGCTTCAGGCATTGTGTTAGATACTAAGACTGAGTCCAACGTGGGCTGAACCAGTTGTTCTGTCGAGGGTAAGATGTGATGAGACAGCGTGGACCGTTGCAGATTCATCGAAACATGTTTCATGGGTCTATTCAGTCCTGCGCCAAGAATCTGGATTATTTTCCTGCGAATAGCAGAATGTTTAATCGCTTTGAGTTGGGCAGTATTATCTAATCCCTCCAGCAACTGAGCTATGCAGTGTCTTGCTGAGATTCCGCTGGTCCCATCATTTTGAGACCCTGATTTTGTACCACGTTTGAAGGGGGTCCAAAAACAGATCGATCATTTTGGCAGCAACCTATACAACCCATATCTATTTCAACTCCATCTCCCCACCTGGCATTGTACTTCACAGGCGGCCCTGTGGTGGGCCGCACCAACACCGACACGGCGCGGTGCACCACATGGGCGTTGGTGACCAGCCACCTGCAAAGACTCGACATCGCTGTGCATGGAAAAAAATGCTTGGCGCCAGTTGGGGTGGACCAAACCCTGAAAAACCTGGTGTAGACCATGTAAGTACTAATTGGTGCAGGATTTTGTCCACCCACCGAAGCTGCGATGTGCTGCTGAGAAAACAGCATCTGGGTTTGCCTCATTGTGGAACCTGAAATATGGGCTTTGGTTTCTGTGTTGTTTTCGTTTAAACAGATACCCCTCAAAAGAAACACTCGCCTACTCTTTTGAAATGAGGGGTTTGCGAGATCCTTGCCAACATCAATCCACTGACTGTCATGAACTGGAGTCTTGGATCAGGTACCAAGTCTTCAGGTTCACAGCGCCTTCCATCAAGTATGAAGCCGGTCCCAGTGGCAGACAGTTGGCCTTGGCTGAGACAATAATCCTGTGTGCCTCCTGGCGAACATGCTCACGTCCCAGTAGCTGGTGAAAGCGCGCTGTCTAATGCTGATACCCCGGGTGCAACACCCGAAACACCCAACGCATGGCAACACATGGGTGTGGCTCAAAAATACGTACCCAAAATGGGGCCCTGGTAAATGGAAACATGGACTAAAACCTGCGGTCCCCTGGTGGTTTAACTGTGACCCATGCCCATATGGCAACCTCGCGCCCATCCTCGACCCAAGAGGCGCGCTGTGCTTGCGCCACGGATCCGAGAAATTGCAAGGCACCTGGATTTGCAATCGGATGCAACATGGATGAATCTTGCCAGCAGAATTGGCTTTTCAACATTCTCCGCCGTGGCAGCTGGAACAAGGTGTACCCCAGCCGGCCTTGCGCACGAAGAGCTTGCACACGGAACCAGTGCCCGCGGAGACACCCCGTGCGTCCACTGCTACACGGCGTTTGGGGCCTGGCAGCGAGCAACGACCTTTCTGCCAGGATCTTGACTTGCTGACCATATACTGGCACTGGGCAGTCTGCTCCCAGCACAACGTGAATGTCTAAATTAAATGTAAACACATCCATCATTGATGCAAAACCTCAAGAGAAATAATCCACTGTAGTAGGCTGGCTAATCGAGGAAACCCAATATCGAGTTGGTTACCTCCTCAAGTTTATAGCCCCATCTCTGGATACGTCAGTAATAAGCCCCCAACGAGGCCTTTTTCAGGATCAATTCCATAAACCCCCCTACACCCCCGCACACGCCTTTGTGGCGCTTGCTGGGACGCTGCTCCTCCGATCCTGCAAAGTGGCAAGACTCTCCGCCGGAACGATCGCCTGGTATTGAAAAAAGGCTATGGGAACCCGTGACAGGATCAAACATGAAGTCACCGTAGCAGTAGCCTCAAAACAAACATCATGCTGTCCTCTGTGTACATAACATTTACAAATACACTGCATTGTAACAAAACGGACGACCATTCGCTCGCGCAAGATCGGAATGAACATGTGCTACTGGAGACCCCTCCCGGCCATCCTGCCTTCAGAGCCCGAAGCGCTTTCCGCCATGAAGTACCAGTGCCAAGCAGCATCCAAGTGTTTACCGCAGTTGGCGGATGCTCGCAACAGAACTTGAGCATGCTTGTTTCGCTGAACCTGACTGTTGCAGCTGAATACCGAGGGAACTGCCTGAAGGTTGCGTGAAGCTGCTAAGGTCTTTCTGAGACCCAGCAACATTGCTCGCTGTTTCTCCTCTAAAGCCTCTACTGAGGACATCAGCTGTGAGCCCAAGGGAAGGGCGTGGCTTTCAAACCCGCTGAAGGTCATCAAAGCCAGCCGCAAACAAGTTGCCTGGTCCACAAACTGACGGCACCGGGCTGTCCAACACATGACAGTCCAGCTGGCCACAGAAACAGCGGGGACCATGGCGAGCCAAACAACTTGCGCAACATCAAGGCCTAAAGAAATCGTGGGCGCGGCTCGCCAGGAAGCAATCTCCCTCCGCGCAAGTTGACCGCTCTGGGCGTGCGGCTGATTGGCGAATGGTCAGGAGAGATACTGGGCGCCGGAGGTGATCGTCGATCCAGGTGTCTTGTGAGTGCCCCGTGTCTTTCTTGCGAAGCTCGTGCCATCCAGTAACGTCTCAAATCGAAAAGTGAATGATCGTTCACAACAGTGTGGCGCAGGCCCTTCAGTGCTGACACAGCGCAGAACTGCAAGCAAATCGTGACCGCCACAAAGGGGCATTTGCCAAAGCTGTCCCATACATGTTTGCTTGTTTGTCCAGTGTTGGCAAGTGAGACTAACCCAAACAATTGAGAGCAACATAGGCCTCCGGAATGCCTGATGCAAAAATTACTAATGCGAGCTCTCAAAGACCATTGGATCATCTTGATTTAGCATTTGTTCATCATGATTTATCATGATTGATCTGAGGAATCAGAAATTGCTCTATCCAATTATTCTCCATTGATTTTTCGTTTGGCACCTCGGCTTCCCTGTTTTCTCCGCCCGAGGCGGGGACTTCTCCATGCGCCTCCGCGGAGGAGGGCTCCTCGATCGAGCGTGGGCCAGGGGCCGGTCGAGGAGTTTAAGGAGCTGCCGACCTTTGAAAGTTCAACTCAGCCCTCCGGAACATTGCCCGAACTTTGGGTTTGGACCTCAAAATCCATGCAAACTAAACACTCACTGACGTCATTCCTGACAGACCTGGAAGATTCATTTCCTCTTGAAGGGACCCCCTGTCAGGGAAGCCAGACCTTTGATGAAGGTTTTATACTTTCATTGAGGTACATGATCTTAGTTCTGTGAATGACCGACCCGGCTTTCCAACCGTGGAAGTGGACAGGAGGATTTTGGAAGACTGGCCGGGGTCTGAAGAGAGAATGACACAAGTGGCAATGGTTTCCTTGTCTGCACACCTTTGGCCATTGTGGAAGCCTGTGAGGAAACCATTTCACCACCACATAGTTGCATTGTTGCATTGTTCATTACTTTTCTGATCAGTGAGAATGGCTCCATTCTGAGATCAGACTCAACAGGCTAGCCTCAACAGGCTAGCATTTGCATAGTTAGCGCTGCAACATCCACTCTGGGTTGCGCGCGTGGACTGCTGTCGCACTGCATTGCCGCCTTATGAGCTCAGCAAAGAAGGTGCCTGCGCTTGGTCATTCGGGTCCCGTTCGTCTCAGGGAAGCTTGCAGAATAAGACGGGTCACACATCCAACTGCTTCTCCAACGTGAGCCGCAATCAAAACCAGGTAGAGAGGTCTTACTAGCCTTCATCTACCCGTCTACCGTGGCTACTTTACGATAAGCACCCCACCAGGCAGAGGCGGCGCCTGCCTCAAAGAAAGCGGCTGCCACAAAGACAAACACAAGCGACCCACCAAAGCTATCACGACAAGCGATCCCGCATGGACTCCAATGCTGCAACTCCATGTACACTCCTCTCACTTGTAAACCAATCGGCTCTAGGGCTCAGGCATGACTTGGCATGCTTGGCTATTCCTGGCCTGCCACACCAAAGATCTGGGTGTCTTTTCTAAGCGCGCCCTTGTGTGGCTGCTTTAAAGAGAAACCAACGGGCAACCAACCATTGTGAGGGTTCCACTATTTTGGTAAAGGCCCAAATATCGATTTGTGCAGTAGGTGCAAAGCCACGCCTCCTCCAACTGAGCCTGGGCACCAGCCTTCAGCTGCCAAAGACTTTCTTGCCGAGCCAAACAACTTTTCCCCCCATCTACCAAACACCAGACACCAACCAAAGACCACCCCCCAACCTTCGATGTGTGGCTGCGGAGCCCGAGCTTCTGGCCGTCATGGGCTCAGCCCTATCCATCCTGGGCTCCGCCCGGAGGAAATACTCCGCGCGGACCTGAAAGCAAGCAGCGAGCTCAGATCTGCATCAAGTTTTCGCTGAGGCGGTCACGTCGTTGGGCTGAAGAGGGAAGACCTTGACAAATGAATGCGGTCTACAGGATAGCACAGGATCCTGCATCTCCCCAGTGGCCCGATGATCAGAAAGAATGGCTAGAATTTGCTCGGCCTCGCGCCGTCACACGGATTGAGTAACACAATCGCCGTGAACCACAAGATTGGTTGCGTTTTTGGTCAACGTCGCTCCACCCGTCGCCTCTGGAGACATTGCCCGGCAACTGGCAGGAAGAAAGCCAGAAGCTACCAACTGGATGCAGCGCTGCGGCTTGGTCGCCCGTCGCGCTACCCAGGTTCTTTTTCACTTGGAGCACGCTCTGATCCAGCCCTGGTGGCAGAAGGAGCGGCCTCCTGGGCAGTTTGCTTCCTTGCCTTCCGAGCGAGCTGTCAATAAGCTGAAACCCAACCACTTGTCCAACAGCCCTATACATACGAAGCATGGTGCTAGCCTGCATCACACGGCGGCACAGCAACCCTTTTTCAGCGCGAGCCGTGGCATTGCTTCGATGCAGCGTGAGAATGTGAGTTTACGTCACAGAGCTGAGCAGCTTTCACACGGAAAACGTGGGGTGCCCAAAAAACGGATTCGATTGGTGTTAGGGAAACAAAAAAAACACCCTTAGGAACCACCCAGTCACAAAACACGATTTTCCTGCTGATTCTCTCGCTCAGTCATACCGCCAGCCATCAACCAGCATCTGGTCGTATGCGGCTTGCGTAATCGCCAAGTCATGCCTACTCTGGCTTTCAGCCGCGCCCCATCGCCCGACACAAGAGGGGCGTTACTGTAGCCACACTCACCACTGCCCGTAGCTCACCACACCCCTACGGGCAGTGGCAGAACTTGCAGCGGCTGCGATGAGTGCAGCGCCGATTTAAGCGGTGCCAGCACGGTGGGCGGGTGCAATGAGGGCACGTCAGAACTCGTCCTGCGGGTTCAGTTACTGCCTCAGTTTCACACAGGTTGTCCCCTTCAAGAACTCGTCTGGACGTAGAAAGTGATTGGTGGAGCTTGACACCCGCACCTCACCAGACCGATCCCAGCACAGGAAATGTATTGGGGACAGACCACAGAAACACAAGAACTTTGACAGTGTGCGATCATACGCAATCCATGAATTTAAGAAACCCGGGCGTTCAGCTTTAAATATACAAAGGCCATCACACGCGCCCCTCCATTAGCAAAGGCATACTGCATCCCTGGTGTAAAAAAGACTTGAACATACTTGACAGCTTGCGAACATTTGTCTGCTCCCAAGAAAGCCCGCTCATTGTTGGTTTCCTCCAAAGATTCATCCCCCTCTTCTGCCCCTTGTCTTTTCCGAGGCTTGTCATCAGTGCCCTGCCCTTCGAGTGGCCAATGTGCAGCCTTGCAACCTCTGGCCCTTGCTCCTTTTCTGCTCCTCCTCTTGCCCAATGGAGTGGGTATGGGAAGAAAGACATGTCACCTTTTTTGATTCAAAAGGGAACCCCGACCAAAGAACGTGGCAAAATGAGTGCCATTGGGCAACTGGGTCCTCCGTGAGATCTGCCCAGCTCGGGCGTCTTGACATGGCCCGCAAGCGCAATTCCGGGAAGCCAGGACCACCCTGGAGCAGCTTGAGCCCAAATCTTGACGTGACGGCGTGAGCGCGCTGCATCCTCGGCAGGCCAGCTCATTGGGAAGAAGCTTGCTATTTCGGCGGAACAAGCAGGGTCGATGTCTTGTCTAGATCTTTAGACATGATTTGGCCCCTTCAGATTGGTGGAAAGACGGGGA